GTGTGTTTTTTACAGGATTTTAGAACAGTCCACAATTTTGTATTCTATTCTTCAAAATAGGGAAACCCATTTTAACTATGGCATAAGCAAGACTGACAATTTCAAGCAGTTTATTGTGTCACTTCGCACAGATCAAGCTTTCACCGAGTTTTACCAAACTGCACTAGAAAAAGTAGGCCCACCAGCAACCAGAGCAGATAGTAGATACAATTACAAACAGCTTTATTTTGAGATTATTGATTCCATTAAAGGCATGTTAAGTGAACGATTTCAAGATATTAATCAGTTCGAGTTTTTAGACCTTGTAAATTCTAAACTATTTACTACATGGAAGGGCATAGTTCCACAGGAGAAGATCAATCTTCTCAAAGATAAGTATAGTCCTCTTTTGACATCCAAACTTTGGAGAGTCAACTTTCCTTCATTTACAACGACAAGGACTTTCACAAAGAGTGCAGTAATGAGGTTCTTAAATACATCTTCAAATTTAATCTCCAGTCGAGTTTAGGTCAAGTGGTAAATTTGTTAAAATTGAATGGTGTGTTGGCAGTGGCAAGTGCTTCAGTAGAGAGGTCTTTTCTTGCTTAAAAGGGTAAAAGCTATTTAAGAAATAGAATGGGTCAAGGTCGGCTTAGCTCTTTGTGTAGAATATCTATTCACAAAGATATCATTGAAAAGAAAGAGGAATCAGAGGTGTTGCATAACGAGGTGGTTGAAAAATTTGTAGAAAACCCAGGAGGCTGGCCTTTCTTTATAAATGATGAGTATAGTATGTGTTTTGATATTTGGTCGTATAATACATGGTACTTCATTGAGAAAATTAAGCATAACTTTAAAGAATAAAGCCATCCCTGTCTACTTGCCCCAATCTAAACAAGTTTAAACTAACAAGTAGAATGCTAAGAAAATCTCTCTCTATGCACTTTAGAAGTTTCGTATACTATATTATTTTTGTGCTAATACAAATTTCTTCTGTTTATGCAGGGGAAGTGATGAGTAAATTATGTTTTAGGGGACAATTGTCTCCTGCGTAACGTTTCTCTGAGCCACCTTTAGTACCTTTTTAACTAGTTGCAGTTTCAACGATTGCCACATTAAGAATGCAGCTAACGAAAATGGGTTTTTATAAATTATTGTACAACAAATAATTCGCCCTCGAAATCGCAGGAAATGCTGTTTCCAAGGCTCTGGATTTCAAAATTTTCCGGGGGAGCATGCCCCCGGACCCCCCTAGTGGGGTCGCGCCTCCGGCGCGAGATGGATTGGCGGGAGTGACTATTTTTCCTAGCTACGCCACTGCTTCTAGTTCTACTCAGCGATTAGGATCAATGGAAACTTCTAAAAAGATCGATGTTCTTGAAAAGCTCGTCCAAACCTTTCAGAAAGAGAACGCTTGCGAATTTATTTCTGGTGAATTGTCTATCTTGAGACAACACTGTTTATTTAAAATTTAGAGTGCGGTAGTTTATTTTAGGGTTAGGGTTATATTTAATGTTAGGTTTACAACATTTTCGTCAGTCGTCGAGATTAATTACTAATCACATCGATTTTTTTTATCTGAAAGAATTTATGCAGTCTCCCAACAACAGCATAGGATAGTTATTTGTAAAAATAATGCTAAATACTTTTCCTTTGCTTTATGTAAAGATGTAAATAACAAGTAAGAAAACTTATCAGATTGGATAAAGCTATTAGTTTTATGGTATTATTTAAGATAATTAGTAGAGGAAGAGTTATTGGCCAAAACAGTCACTAGTTATATAAATTTATTACTTTTCGTTTTACATAAAGAAAAACGTATTCGACTTACGTGTCAATACTTGATAGTTTTTTATTGCCAATACTTGATAAACTACTTTCTAAAAAGCTTTATTGTCACGTGAGCCTTTAACTTCTTTTTTTTACTCTACTGATTGCGTAACACGAATTAGTCCATTTCACTACAGTTGCACATGGTTCTAATAAGCTATTAACACAAATATTTCACTAAACATCACACCTAGAGCAAATACATATAGCCCTATAGTTTCTGCTAATTTCATAGCCCACATTAAAAAGAAATCAACACGCATACAATTTTCATCAAGTTATGTGCGATCAAATCATATCATGTACAAATTAAGCAATCGTTTCATCTATTGATCGGAAAGAGTTAAGTGATGGCTGTGTTATACAGGGTGACCCAAAAAGATAAGTACCCATGAAAATTTCAATTATGGCTTTAATTAAAAAGCTATTTATTTAAAATTACAACCACACATCATTCAGTTTATGGAAGACTATTCACAAGAGTTTCGGCTATTTCTGTCAATTTTTAGTCAATTTATGGCTTTCCCAAGATGTGTTCCAAATGTCCACCATTTCGTTGCAAGCAAACCTGTACTCGTCTGGCAAAGTTTTGAATCACTTTTATACACTCCTCTTTCGGGATGGCTCTTATTTTTGAAGAACTTAAAACTGCCATCACAGCAACCTTTGTGATACAGTCACCCTGTATCTTTGGAACAAATTAACGCTTTTAAACTATTTTCATAATCAACAACAACGCTTTTAAACTATTTTGATAATCAACAACAACTCTTTTGAACTATTTTGACAATCAACAAGCCCTAATGCATAAACAATTGGATTTACAGCAAAATTTAGTAAAGCTACTGGTATATAGTAATATGAAAAACGCCAAGCCAATTCACTTTGTGTTTTCTTGAGTCTTCGAACAAACTCCACTTGTTTGGCAACAAGAAAGGAAAGGCAGTTAAGAGTAGTACGACATTTAGCATGATGATTGTCTTTAAAGCTTTAATACGAGTTCTATTTGGTTGTTTATTATTCATTTCTGTGTTTTGTGAATTTTTTAATATAACTTTTAGTATTGAATATTTTAATACATCCTGGCTTATAACAACGATTTCCAAGACTGCATACAGGGATATATTGATGTAGATTAAGTGCCTAAACACGAAATCTTCATTAATTGATGCAATCTTACTGAATTCCATACATAAAGCAATAAACCAAACTACATAGTCGTACATAATCTGTAAATTTTCCTGGTGAACAACAACTGTCGGCTGTTTTGGGGATACTTGGCAATCATGTAAGTTTGCCATGTAAGAGATGTCAAGTGAAAAAATGAGCCAAACATACAAAAGTAAAAGACAGAAAGAATAACAGGTTTTGATGGTTTGACATCGAACAGTTACGTCAACCCAACAATCATAAATTGTGACAAACATGCAGTGAAATCCGCTATGGATAAGTTTAGGATGGTAATCCAACTTCCTCGTCTTAGTATTTTTAGAGGATCCAACATAATTACAACAAAAAAACAACATTTGCAATGACACCAATTATGAAGACTACCATCGTTGTTATTATTAGATCATGTTCTACTGAGAAAGATTTTCCGGGATTTCAACTTAAATGAAATGTACAATAATAGTAAATGCTTTTATATACATTTCTCAACATATTTACATATATTTTTATGCAAGTTACAGTTCCTCCCAGAAAAATGTGAATTAGGTACTTAATCTATTTATAACTTTGAATTCTATCATTAATTATTGTGACAGTGTTCTTCTTCACTGCGCAGTGTATAATCGGTTCAAGTCGGCATGTTTGGATCATAACGAGCGACGTGAGATATCGGGACTGTCAAACATGGCGTAATGAAAAATCTAAGTTCTTATATTATTTTCTTTTAAAATCATCAAAGGATTGATAGCACTTTTAAACATTGAATTATCATAAGCAAATTACCCTACATACAAACGACGGTCAGTAAGTTTAGTCGTCAATGCCTTTTACTCATAGGCGTAGAAAGCAGAGAAGGAGGGGTTTGTCCTAAATTGAAGAGAAGTAATAAATGATATGCTAGTATAATCCCTATTATGGTAGTTTAACTAACCAATGGCTGCTTTGGCTTCCTCTTACCCAATCATAAATTTTTGTGCTAAAGTAGATTGCCTATTAAATCTGCAGCAATTAATTTCTTTTTAAAAAGCTTCATTTGAAGGTGTTTTACCATTAATTCCCACACCAACAAAAATTTATAAAATCTCGTCTGTACTGGTTGTGTGAAAGTCAAGAGTATTAAAAATGTTGTGTGGACTATGCTGTCAATATTCTTTTGCAAACAATTTATGAATTTTTTAAGCGAAAGGCATTTTTGTATTAAGAATGGTTTCCATTAAGTGCAAGAACCTATCACACAATCGACGTTTTTAGATAACTTTCTTATGAAATGTGTTAGCAGCGTGAAATCACTCAGGTCGAGAAATTACAATGGAAAAAAAAGTAATCTAAAAAGTCCATCGCGCTAAAATTTACACTGAATGTAAATTAGCCATAACGCCTGGAAAGCTGTAGTGGAAATTAAACAGATGAGGGCGAGTGCATTTGGCCAGTCCAACCACTCACTTTTTTCCTCTGAAGTAGTGTAAAATTAGTCGTATACGAAGATACACTATATTGTTTTCAGCAAGAGACCTTGATATCCAAATGATTTTACAATTTCTTGTGTAATGATATATAATAAGAATTAGAAGGGTGTTTGTTTAAAACACTTTTTACAATTGTTTGCCTTTGACATTACTAAGATGTGGATGATAATGAGCAAACTGAGATGAAGACTTTTTTCTATAACAACAACATTTTTGCGGTTGATTTATGTGATCAATTTCTCTCATGTTCTTTGCTGCAGAGAAAAGCTGTGAAGTAGTGAACAGTGGCGTAGCTAGCGAAAAACATTTGATCGGGCTCACGAGGCGCCACCATGGTTGGCGCCGAGTGAGAAAATTTTCCGAATTTAGACTCCCTAGAACGTCGGAAACGGCTATCTTAGAAAGCAAATGCGTGATATTTATGCAGGAAATAGAACCATTTTGGTTAATTTAAATTGCCGAAGGATCTTATAGCAAAGCAGAGAAACAGTTCAAAAATAGTTGCAGATATGTGATTTATTTTCTCAACACCACATACATAAATAGATACCTATGTACATCTTGTAAAGAAACTTTGACAAAAGAACCGAAAAAGGCTCGGATTTGTCATCAACAACTTTCAAAAGTTGTGATGCCGTTCATTGTCGTGCTGAAATGACAATCATCATTGACTGCATTAAAAAGTTCCCGGAAAAATTCTCACATGCCATGGACGTAAGACATCATCAGCTTGCTATCAGCCATATATGAATACCTATTTGTATAAGAAAGCAAGTCTTCGTGGTTTCTCAATGAACTTCTTTACTACCTCATCATGCAATGTGTTGGCGTCTTCTTTCTCTGACAGTATGTCTTTGTGAATGGAAATCCTGCAAAGAGAACTAAAACGTCCTTGGCTCATAGTATTTCTAAGATAATTTTTTACCCTCTTCAAACAAGAAAATGACCTCTCAACTGAAGCACTTGTAAATGACCAAACCCCATTTATCTTTAACAGTTTTACAACTTCTGGAATACTAGATTGACAATGGAACTGAAAAATATATTTCAATAGTTCATCGCATGAATCACAGTGAAAGTCTTTATCTCTGTAAATAAAACAAAGTTGGCTAACTAGCATTGGTATGTCAAACATATCACCATAAACCTCCTTTAGAATATTTATCTTTTCTGAGGGCACTTCACCTTTCCACATTTTAAACACCCTAGGGTTAACAAGGTCAAAAATCTAAAACGCTCCGTGTCCTGAAATCGGTCAGTCAGCATAGTCACAATTGTGTCAAGAATTTCAAAATACATTTGTTTGTAATTATGCCGTTGGTCATACCTGGTTACTGGTGGTCCCACTTTCTCAACAGCCAGGTCGTACACCTGACAATATTCTGTATCATTTCTCAGAGAAGCAACAAAGGCCTTGAATCTCTCAACCCTACTCACTCCATAATGAAAGTCAGTGTCCTTGTCTTGCAAGATAGAATAAAGTATGGATGACTGCTCAAGAATTCTCTGGAAAACAAGTACCAAGAAACAAAACAAGAAGCCATTAAGGTAGCCAAGTAAACCAGTAACCTTACTTAACATTTCATTATCCCAACCTATTGGATTATCAGTAAGATTTTCAAATATGTCTATCAGTTTCTCATAGTTAGAATGCAAGACATTGATGAAATGAGCCCTATAATACCATCTTGTGTCAACAGGACTAGGAAACTCAAGCCTATGGGATGATAGTAAAGCTTTTCTTTTGGGGGAATTGCTAGTAAAGGTGCAAAAGGCACTAATATTAACAAAGAAAATCTTAACAGGTGAAATGGAGGATGCAGCTTAACATAATACTAGATTTAGTCCAAGGGCAGCACAGTGAACAAATTGAGCATAAGGATAATCCTGCTGAACATGAGCTTGAACACCATTGAGATGACCAGACATAACAGATGAACCATCATAAGTCTGTCCAATAAATTTCTCTTTCACATTATTATATTGACTTAACTTACCCTTAACCACTGATGATATAGCAGTCGCAGTCCTGTCACAACTAACATCAACAAACCCAAGCTCTCTTTCAATGACACTTTCCCCTTTGTCCATTCGAACAATTACACTCAATTGTTCTTTGGTAGAAACATCAGTTACCTCATCAACCTGTATACTTAAGAAAGTGCAGCAATATATTTCCTTTAAAATCTCATCCTCTATTATCTTATCAAGACAATCAATGAAATCATTCAGAATATCAGGAGAGACTCCAGTAAACCGCCCTCCCCCAGCACGGTGGGTTTCAGCAAGCCTTCCATGTAATGGCACTTCAAAAACAGAATCCATCTTGGCAAAACTTTCAAGTAGCTCTCTATAATTTCCTCTATTCATGCTGCCACTAGATTCATCATGCTCCCTAAATGCAATCTCTTGCCTAGACAAGTATAAAACAGCTTCTGTTATGGTTTTCAACATTTCCCTGTTTTGCCTTACCTCCTCATTATGACGCTGAATTTCTTCACGTCTAGTTTGTGACATGAGACAGTCGATACGAGGCTGAAAACCGTAGGTCCTCCAGGTCTTGTAAGCACCCATGTGCGATTTTGCCTTGTCATGCTTCTTACAATCGGATAGGAAATTCTTCATGTTTTTGAATCCCGTCTGCGTCCATGAAGATGACGATCCAGGGCAAAATAAAAGACAAGGCCAACATAACAATGCATTCTTTTCTAAGCTACCACAAAGCCAATCTTTCTTCAAGTACCAACTTTCCTGAAAGCTTCTATTGCCTGTAGTCGCTTGTAAATTTGGAATTGGCCGCTACTTTACGACTATATTTTGCTCGCCTGATTGTCGAACAGAAAATAGTTTCTTTTGTAGTTCACTTATTATATCGATTTTATTAGCCGAAGCCATTGTAATGTAAGTTATCACGACTTCCGAACGTATATTTCGAAAGCTCAAAATTCAAGTCACGCTTTTGAAAATGAGCCCGATTATATGTTGTTAAACGTTTGAGTGTGTTCACAGCTACTCTCAAGCAATCAGATTACATATATTCCCACTATAGATTTTACTACTTGGTCGGGCTGAATTTTCAGAGCCCGACTAGATGTTGCGAAACAGCGCATTTGAGTTTGCTCGGTTGTTTTCAACCAATCAGATTGCAGATAATCCCACTATAGATTATACTACTTGGTCGGGCTGAATTTTCAGAGCCCCACTAAACTGCGTAATGCCTGGCACTTGAAATGCACTAGTCATTGTTGCTAAGTAACTTTTAAAAATATGATAATTTTGCTAATAACGACGCAATTTGACAAATATTACACTAATAGCTGTGAATTATTCCAAAAAGAGTCGCAGAATTTAAAATCTTCGCAAATCCAATATTAAAGAAAACAAATTTTTCATTTTTGGGAAAATATTTGGTCGGGCTGGGCCCGACCAGCCAGACCGCTAATCAGACTAAAGTTGATTTTTGTTTTCTGGAACTATGCGTGGTGAATGCTCTTGTCTCGTTCAAGAATCAACATCCTGAACTAAATCCAAAAAGGTTCCTTCTTTAGGCCTTTAGGAAGCAAGTAGAAAATCAACTAGAGAATGCACTGCAGGAGCATCCATGATCAAGAGCAGCGCGTTGCTACCTTTCACAAGAATAAAGATTGTCTGGCAGACTTATTGAAAGAAAATATTAAAGGTCGGGAAAGTGTTTTGGATGTGGAAATAAAACTTCAGTTGTTAATAAGAGAACAGAAAAGACACCAACAATTTTTACTCAAAATGATACCAACACATTCGCCAAAATGCCTCCAAATAGCTCACACAAGAGCTCTTTTCTAGAATTGACCATATCACAAATAAATGCACTACAGATACATAAATAAAATTGCTAAAGTTTTTGTAAAAAGGCTTTAAAATATTTAAAACTTAAATAAGATGCGTTTTTACTGTTTATTGTTTCATTGGCACTTTTTTAAATTCTAATTGCTCAGTGAAATCAGTTTCACATTTTTTTTATACTCGTGAAGTGTTCAAAATACAGTGTACCATGAACTCGGTATAAAAATGCTAATGAAAAAATTACCTTTGCAACTATTGGCATTAAAAAACAATATCTATGTTATTGTATGTTGTACAGCAGTTAAAATCTTATAAGTTCGTCATTCAAATAAATTTCATGAACTTTATAATGTTTTCGTTGCAGAGTTTTTCGGGAAAGCCATCATAAAAATCAATTTGTGAACAAAAGGGTTAACGTACTTTCACTGTGATGTACACATAGAACTAAAAATAAAGAAATATGGCAAATTATTTCCTATTGAGTATTAATTAGTGAATTATAATTATTTTTATTTAAACACAGTAGCCTTGCCATTTTGTTCTGATTTTCATGAGGGGCATGTAAATATGGAATTTACATTAATATAAAAAGTAAAGCTTATTTACGGCACATTCAAAAATAGAGTTAAGGAAGTCACATAGTTTTTATACATAGCTATTTGAAGTTTAGGGATAGGAAGGTGGCTTTAGCCCCTCTAAGTTTTGATGTGAGGTGGGGCTTACCCCCTCTTAACATTATAGGTCAACATTGCCAAATTGTAATGGATCCTTACCTGATGTAACTTTTGCGTGATTTATCCAATATATCATAAATTACACAGATTATAGAAACTGTAAGAATATAGAAGAATACTACTTGAAATGATTTGTAACAACATAAACACGACTGTATTTGTCAATGTAAGTAAACTCACAACGTTTTTTACATTAATTCGGAAGTGCCAGTGAACTGTCATAATCCAATTCTCACCTTTCAAAAAAGTGAAAAACATCTGTTTATGCAACCTGGCTGCAAAAATGTCTTCACTGCGCTGTCATAAGTTTCATCTAGATTAATAAACAAGTTTTCGATATCACAGCAAGTGAGGATTCTCTTAGAGAAGACTTTCCAGAAGTTCTTGCACTTGAGGATATTTTAAACGGGTAAAGTGTAAAACAAAACATCATCAGTTGGAAAAGATAACTGGTTACTGTTCTTATCATGGTACTTGTACAAGGTCTGCATGACTTCCTGTTTCACTTTCATGGTTGTACTTTTCAATTGTTGTGTAGTCCCGGCTTCTTTTGAAGATTTTTCAAACATTAAAACCTATGTGTTTCTTCCAGATAAACGTGGCCGTGCTGTTCAGCATATTTTATTTTGTCCTGTCAAAGCCGTACAAGGTTTAAGTTGAGAAAAGTAGAGAAGTATTTGTGGCTTCCTAAAAATCACACAGAAAAGACTGTTTTAGCTTTGGTGAAAAATTATTTACATACTGCTTGAACTCATACAAGTATGTTTTAAAGTCATGAAGAATTTTTTAAATTTTACAAAAATGTACACAGGGTTTTTCTTTGTGTGTACATGAATACGCTACTATAGTCTTTTATTATGTGAAAAATATTGTTAAGGCACTAATTATTACACATTGTAAATGCTTTTTGTGTGTCTTTTAACAGTTTACTCACACTGTCACTCGCACTCATTAAGTGTGACATAGAATTTGCTACTTTTCTAGTTAAGAATTGGCAAAAAATTTCATTAGCAATGGCAAGCTATTTGCTAAAATACCAACTTCAATTGAAGCAATCACTGGAGTGAAAATTCCTATTACGTATAATAAAGACGGGATTTTAAAGCCTCGCTGAGTGTGAGTATGAGAGAGTATTTAGAATAAAGGCGTAGTATTACTTACTAAACTTTTAAGCGTAGTCATTTTTAGAAATTTATCGTATTTATTGGGAAAACATAAAAAGGACGAAGTAGTTGGGACTGCTACGCAGCTGCAATAGGATTTACAAAACCATTCCAACATATCTACGCCTGATCTCTAAACATGAAAGTAAAATCTTCTTTTATAAAAGAAAGGGAAAGGTGCAGAGTTGGAATAAAACACGGATACAGATGGTACGGATACGGATGCGGATGAAGGGTTATTACAACAACCTTTTTAAAATTTTTAGTTTTTTCAAGTAGCGGCGTTTAGCAAAAGTAACATGAAAACGTTTTGCACCAACACTGGATGCTTTCGTTTAAATTTTTCCATTTGCCAAATTATATGAAAGCAAAACAAAAATCTTTTGAAATATCAATCGAAATATGCTTCGTAAAATTTCTTTTGCGTGTAAATATAGCTAGCATTTAAGCTCTATTCCAAAGACATTATATAGACATTGATTTTCTACCTGAGAGGGTGTCTCTATAATGTCTCAAATTATAGGTTAATGTTGCGCCAGTAGCGGATAAAGTGAAGTAGATTTGCATTTTTGAAAGTAAATTTTTGTAAAAAAAAAGTTTATTATGAAAGTCTTGGAAATTCTTTCTTTCAGTATGTGCAAACTTGAATGTGCCCTGGGTATCAACGTTAGCTGTTGCTAACACTAACATTCATTGCGCTTTGAAAATTTATGATTTGTGTTTGTTATACATGTATTTTTACCCTAGAAATTTATACTCATCAATAGTGGCGTAGCCAGCCTGCAAATTTGGTTCTGCTAGGTAAATTTTTCTATGCACACTCACTGTAAAAACATTAGATTTCTCATGAAACGAATGAGGATAATGATCTAAATTTGCATAGAAATCTATAGTTACCAACCCGATAAATCTATAGTTACCAACCCTATATTTCTATAGTTACCAACCGTCTGAGATATCAATTACCATACAATAAACATTTAGACACAACTAGATATGTTTTTAACTTAACACTCACAAGATATTATTGGATTGAAAAAGACACTTTATTGTAAAAATTCCCCATTGCATTTAAATATGAAATACTTACATTTCCAATAGTAAGAATTAAGTCATATACTATATAATGTGACCAGTTGCTAAATGCCTACAATAAAAGGCTGCAAGTGCAAGGTTGATTCTCTTTGAATAAACGCTAGCTCACTGTCAAAATTAAGATAATCGATTAAGTTATAGTTATTTTTCTATTATATTTGTGGAAGTAAACATATAGTTCAATTAAAATATACATCAGTTGTATCCAAAGAAATCTTGATTGTATAGAACAACTATTATGACAGTGTATATGTACGCACACTTAGAGTCAAACACGGGCTACAGATGGCACGTTCTCTGTTGTCAATGGCAGAAACATGTTTTTAGCATTTGGTAAAATCAATATCCACGTGTTTGTTCTATTTATATAAATACCTATCTTGCACCAAAAGTATCTAGTATGATCACTTAGTTACTAGGGAAAAGCAACTTTACGATTGCGAGAAAGTGTAAGTTACAGATATTATCTAACCATGTTTTATAATTTATAAACTGCATCTTTACATTTTCAACTAGCTGAAATATTTATGCCCTTCAAACTAGCAATGATTCGTTACATTTAGCAAAGTATTTTTTTCATTTTTGCGTAATAATCGAATATTATATAACTTCAACGATACTTGCAGTAAGCTTTACTCGATAAAAATACACATAACCTGATCTAATTACTTAATTTTGACAGTAAGCACTGATCCAAACTTGCTGCCGATTATTGTGCGATATGACCACCATCTAAATTTATCACAAAAGTATAATTTATAAACTATAAGTATGACATTTTTATATGGACTTTAGCTACAATTGAAAGCGGGTTTCAATCAAATAATATCTTGTGAGTTTCAATAGTTATTGATTCGTTAATTGAGCTCACGGAAGATTGATAAGTCCATAGAACTTAAGGGTTGCTAAGTACAAAACTACAGGGTTGATGAATATAAAACTATAGATAACGATACATATATAACAAAAACAAATTATGAATGTCGAAGCGCTAAGAATATATTTTAGTTTTAGCTGTAGAGAACTTTGATTTTTAGAGCACATTCAAGTGTGCATGTACAGAAATAAAGAATCCTGAGAAAATCTACTTTTAAAACTGCAAATCCACTTTACTTTACCTGCGTCAAATAACCTGCAACTTGCGACATTGTTAAGATACTTCTCAGACAGAAAATAATATCTAAATAATGTCTTTGGCAGAGAGCTGAAATGCTGACTATATAAGCATGCAACATAAATGTTTACGAAGCATTTTTTAAGTGATGTTTTAAAAGATTTAGGCTTTACTTTACTAACGTTTGGCACATGGAACAATTTAAACAAATTCGATGCAAAAACGTTTTCATGGTAATTTATCACCACTTGAAAAAAAAGTTTAAGATGCGCGTCTTATCCATTGAGCTCTATAAGACCTGGAGTGGAAACGTCAACAAAATTACTATAAATTATTAGCGCGCGGCCGCGTGGTCAAAAACATGGCGGATTTTGGTTGTCAAAGTCAGCGGAAAGACGCGGGCTCATAAAATAAAATTTTTTTCGCCCACCGGATTTGACAACCACAATTGCGATTACATAAAATATCAATGCCAAGCACAAAAACTTTTAGAAATTTTATCTTTAAAACATGCTGCCAACTTGTTTGGTATACGGATGCTGAAGTAATGCCAGAAAAGGAAACATTTCATGACACCGGTAAGCAACGTAAGATTGTTTACCATTTAAAGTGTCCAGTGTTTTGTTTTAATTCAATACTTGAAGTGTGATGGTATATATTTTGTGAATGTTTTTACTACTAAGTTATAATTTAAGTTATGTTTATCCAGTCTTATTTGTTCTTTACTTAATCGGTTGCTAGACGAGGCAAAGCAACCAGTTCTTATCGAGATATGCATATTGTAAAACTCCTTGTTTCAACTGAGATGAAATGGAGGATTTTTTCATGATATTTTTCTGAAAATATGAAGCAAATATTAAGGACAGAGCTGTATTGAAATCAAATGCAGTGTGGGATTAATTAATGAACTCTTTGGTACATGTCGTACAATAAAAAATACCTGTATTAAACAGCTAGCCTGGACAATTTGACAGATTATGGACAATCATGATGATGGTGTGTAAAGGTTTGCTTTATGCTAAAAGTTTTGTAAATACCATCTGGTGTTTCTGTAAATGAATTGTTTGTTGTACAGTGTAGTAAACAGGTTAGTACATCAAAATCAAGATAAAAACTACATTGTTCAATAATGTGCCAAATTTTGCTCCTCCCTTGAAATATTTGCTCAAGAAAAGCTTATGACATGCATGAAACATTAAATATAGTACTGAATCATCTGACAAAATCCATACGTTTTTCAATTCCAGGTGATTAAAAATTCACATAAGATGCATTGGTTGCAACGAAGTTGAATGTGGAAGAAGCAAAAATTGATGGCAAAGAACTTTTTATGTCTTTTGAAGAATTACGATATCATTTAAAAGAATAAGAGTAGCAATGTAGTAAAAGAAGTGACATCTGTCTTCAACATGAGACTTTTCCAATTAGGTATAGTTACTTTGTACAAAAACACTATTTTAGATAGACTTGATTTTTAAGTCATTCATTGATATTTTTACCAAAAGACAAAAAGAAAAATTCAAAGGCATAATGTAAAATTCAAAAGTTTGTCAAATTGTTTGAACCTAGAAAAAATTAGTATAGCTAACTGTAATTTGTAAGGACACAAGAGAAAAGTAGTGCAAGAAGGTTAGCATTTTTGAGAATTAATAAGTTCTTGACATACATTACACAAGGCCATAATATTATAAATGTCTGTACAATAACAATTATACAACATGCTAAATATCTTCACCTACATTATAATTATTTAAACAGGTTTGCTTTCATGCAGCAATAAGAAAAGTGTTATGTCAGAGAAACCAATGCACTTTAATTTAAGAAATAGTATTTTCAATGGGAAATTAATGTACTTCTGTTCAGTAGTAGATCCATGGTTGTCAATGACAATCCAGTTTCTAATATCTTGGCTCAAAACAGAACCAGCAACATGATTATAGAATTTCTGAATTTCATTCTTTTGCTCTCCTAGTTCAAGATATTTTCCTCATAAATTCTCAGTAGATTTATCAGAAATTCATAATACCTTATAAGACACCTAGAATCAATCCTACCAAAAAAAACTCAAAAAAATTACATACCTACTTATAATATATTTCCAGTCGACTTAAGTCGTAGGGGTAAGCTAACTTTTTCTAACTCCTTTTTGGACATGGGATTATGCATTAAAGCTTAACGACACATTGACAGTGTAAAGAATGCCGTTTGATATTTATTTCTAACATAGCTAAAGCATTACTTGAAGAAATATACGTTATTTTACCGTAGATTTTCCTCATTTAAATGTGTGTGTCTATTTCACAAAAACATGAAGCATTATATTCAGTATTTTATGCTTACGGTATCGTGGATGTTTTCGCTGGTTGTCATTTATATAAGCAGTAATAGAGATTCGGATTCGGGAGGGAGCGAATGTTAAAAATTTTTCTCAAAGTGGAAGTTTTGACAACCAAAATCCGCCATTACCGCCATGTTTTTGACCACGGGGTCCAGGGCCCTTTCCCCCTCCAGTTATTATAGAACTCAATGGTCTTATCCCCTTATCCATGTTTCATCCTCTCATCCGTATCCGTATCTGTGCCATCCGTGTCCGTGTTTTTTCCGAATCAGGAAGGAGCTATTACAATTGTTATTGAACTTCCCTAAACGGCTTCTAAATGTTGCAGGATTTCTTTATTTAGTAACAAATTTAAGAGGCTGCTTCTATATCTGTGATTAAATTTTGCCGAGTTTGGTGTTCTGTCAAGAGACTGCACACAGGAGCTATCTAATTTTCCAAATTTATGATCTAACTTCTAACAATTTATGATCATAACATTCGTGTTTATGACTTCATCGACTTCAAAAAATGTGCAAGTATTTTGGTGATAGCAAAGCACAAAAATAGAAGTAAATAACAGTTTAATCCTGAATAAGTCTCTATCTTGTCCTTTTTGTCACGAATTTTGCAATGTCAAAACGCTCCAATTTTTTTCGCTAAAACTTTGATAAGCGTGTGCTGCGGCACGCATTAATTGAATCATCCAGTTCTTTTTGAATTGCATTAAACGTTTATGATTCCTGTTAAGTCTCAAGACCTTTCTTTCATTAGCAGATTACTTCCAAAGATCTCTGTTCCAGTCGACGTGTGTTGGGGAAATTATATTATTCATATCTCTAAGCCAAGAGTGTTTTTATGAAAGTACTTCGGATTAAAATTAACGAGCTATAATTTATTTTGACTTACGCTAGATCCGTTACTGAGCACAGCCGAAAAAAAAAATATAGTGTATAAAAAGGAATTACAGTGCAATTTTAAACATGGCATCCGCTTTTTCTTTTAAAAGGAGTAGTGGAAACATATAACAAAGCTGGCATACTCGATAATGTGGCAAAGCTGCGAACATTATAAGTTACCTATATTAATGATAAAAGAAAACGAAGTGTACAAACTTTCTACAATATGTGACGAGAACGTTCATTTGCAGCTAATGTTTCTATTGTGATCACAGAGTATGCTGAAAATGGATGATTAAGTAAAAAAAAAATGCATCACCCTGATGTCATATCACAAGTGCAATCCTTTTAAGCAAAAGTCCAATGCTTCCTTTACAATATTTTTTGGTTGAATAGTTAATTTAGCCACATTAAAATACTTCCAAAAGCTCTCAAATTTTGACAAATTTGCGCTGGTGGAATAATGAACAAAGTTGTCAAATTTAAATACGTCGCTATGAGACGCTAAACAATTGCATATTTTTTGGAGCATATCAACACATCGTTATTTTCGAAGACAAAACCTATGTTTCCGTCTATTAGATTTATTTTTATTCTTATATTTTCCTTTAATGATTGATCTAAAAAGGAAAAAATACTGTCAAGTGCCTTGCAAACTTGGTTAACTTCCAATCTTATGTGTCAGAGACTCGCCTCCTTTTAGATGAGTAGTTATGACAAACACTTACGCGCACCAATAGGAAGCAAGGGAAATGGGGTGATATGCAAATTGCGATAGAAAGGAGAACACGTGTTGTTATTATGATCTTGTTTTTTTTGGGACTGTGAAATAAAAACATCTTCATCAAACCTGTTGTTAAAAATTGTGAAGTGTTGGGAGAAACTTGGGAGGCAATCCCCAATATAGTGGCACCTCCGACGGGATTTTTGGCTGTGGTTTAGTTCAAACTAAGACAAAAATTTAACGGGATATTAGTGCGTGGCGTGAATATAATATCGATGATGACCGAGACAGTAGACGAAAAGCAAAGGGAATTGACTGGCAAATTCAAAGCATTAAGCTTTGCCGTCAGAAAATCAACCGAAGTAATGGATTCTACGAAAGTAGATGTTTTAACGCGACAAATCAGTTCGGTAACGAATCGGATAAAAACAGTGTGCGATTTAAAAGATGAAGTCGAGGAGATTAAGTTTACTAATGGCGAATCTGAGGAAGACGTCCAATCGTGGGCACAAGAAATTGAATTGACAATTACCGAAGCTGACAACAAAGTGAGTGAATTACGAGAACGAATAAATTATATCGAAGGAAATCAAAAATCTGAAGCTCAAGAAACAGCACGGGCTGCTACGGAAGTTGACAGACAAAGGCAACTAGAATTTGAGAAACGAAAAGTCGAGCTCGAACAGGCAACGAAAGAAGAAGAGCGTAAGCAAGAACTTCAATACAAATCGGAGTTATTAAACCAACAGTTGGAGCATCAAAAGGCGGTAGAAAAGTCGGTGAAAAGATCCGAACAAAATGCAAGTATTAAATTACCAAAACTTCCTGTAACCAAATTTGACGGGAATTATGCAAACTGGCTTCCGTTTTGGAACACGTTTCAAGCAGAGGTAGATAAATCTGACGTACCCCCTGTTACTAAGTTTGCGTACCTGAAAGAATGGTTAGAACCGAAAGTTAGAACGGAAATCGAAGGATTACCTTTTACAACAGAAGGATATCAAAGAGCAAAGAATGTACTCGAAAGTGAATATGGGAAAACCAGTGAGATCGTCAACACACATGTTCAAAACATCATGGGACTGCCAACAATTTTGGACGGGAACCCTGCTAAAGTGAAAGAATTTTATAAGACTCTCCTATATAACACGCAAGCATTAGAAACACTCAGGAAGTTGGACAAAGTTAGTGGTATGACAAGGAACATATTAGAAAAACTGAAGGGAATTAAAGCTGATCTTGTGCGAGGTAACGAAGGTTGGCAAGATTGGAATCTAACAAATCTTATTTCAGAACTGAAGAAGTGGAGAGACATCAATCCAGCCGAAGAGAGTGGAAGTTCTAAGAAAACTCGGAAACCTTTACTTGTAGCAGGCAGTGAGCGACGTAAGCGTAGGTGTGTTTATTGTAATTCTGAAAATCACAGCGCTGTTGATTGCACGGTTGTAACCGACATCGATAAGCGGAAGAAATTATTAGCTGAGAAAAAACTTTGCTTCAATTGCACGGGGACAAAACATCGCGCCGCTGACTGTAAGAGTTCTCATATGTGTTCAAAGTGCAATGGTAAACATCATTCGTCGATATGCACAAAGAAAGATCAGCTTTTAACGGCAAGTGATGGGCCAGCCGTATATCCAACCGTTGTGGTGAGTGTAGAAGGAATAAAGTGTCGTGCGCTTCTAGATACAGGCTCTGGTAATTCTTATGCATCGGCAGCCTTGTTAGACTTACTTCCAAAGCGATCTTATAGAAAGGAAACACGACGTGTCGAAATGATGCTCACCTCAGTTACCAAGGAAATGGAACTGTCAACCATACTTGTAAAAGCTGTCAAAGGGGAATTTCAAATGGACGTGAACGTAACCAAAGTAAATAAGGGAGAACTACTGTTTGTGGACAAACCAAATTATAAGGCATTAGTAAGTTCTTATTCACATTTAGCGGGTGTGAAGATGGAAGACGATGATCAAAAACCAAGACTCCCTGTGCATTTAATCCTGGGAGCTACAGACTACATGCGCATCAAGACGTCTGAGAAACCCCGCGTTGGAAAGGTGGGAGAACCTGTTGCTGAAAAAACGAAGTTTGGCTGGACGATATTGGCACAAGGCAAAGAACTGGACTACGCTGTTATGTTTCTTTCACAAACAAGCCAAAGCGTTTACGAAGAATTGTGTCGGTTAGATGTTCTGGGTTTGGCTGGCAAACCTGAAAATGATCAACATGAAGTTTATGCTGAGTTTCAAGAACAGCTTGTGCGAAGTGAAGAAGGGTGGTATGAAACTGGCCTTCCATGGAAGGGTAATCACCCACAACTACAAAGTAATTATAAAGGAAGTTTACGAAGACTAGCAAACCTTCAACGCAGATTGCATCAGAAGGGGTTGACTAATTCTTATTCTGAAATCATTGAGCAGCAGAAAGTCGAAGGGATCGTTGAAGCTGCTAAACATGAAGCCCGAGGTGTTGAATTCTATATTCCGCATAAACCAGTGGTCAGAGAAAGAGCAGAAACCACAAAGGTTCGAATCGTGTACGATGCCTCTGCCAAAGCCAATAATGAAGCTCCAAGTCTGAACCAGTGTTTAAACCCAGGCCCTCCACTCCAGAACAATCTTTGGAACATTTTAGTAAGAATGAGATTTCATCCTGTTGCACTGTCAGGAGATATTAAACAAGCGTTCCTGCAAGTTCGAATCAAGGAAGGTGACAGGGATGCACTACGATTCCACTGGAGCCCAGATGCAACTCGTGAAATTGAAACACTGAGGTTTACAAGAGCGTTGTTCGGGTTAACGTCATCGCCGTTTCTCCTTGGGGGAGTGATTGACCAACATCTCACCTGTTGGGAAAACCGCAGTCCAGAAGTGGTAACTGAATTGCGCAAAAGCGTATATGTAGATGATCTAGTAAGTGGGACGACAACGGTAGCAAAAGCGCGCGAGTTGAAGAAAGAAGCAATAGAAATCTTTAACGATGCGACGTTTACTCTGCACAAATGGCACTCGAATAAGAAGGAGTTAGAAGACATGAATTGCATCACCGAGGAAGAAACCTTTGCAAAGCAACAACTAGGAACACCTAGTGAGGAAGATGCGAGTATTCTGGGATTAGGTTGGTCAAAGAATAAGGACGAGATAAAGGTCATAGTTCCTTCAACTGTAGCTACTACAACAAAACGAAGAATTTTAAGCAAACTGGCTCAGATCTACGATCCACTAGGGTTACTGTCGCCAAGAACGTTGCAGGGAAAATTAATATATCGTGAAGTGTGTGAGATGAAATTACCGTGGGATGCACCATTATCTGACGAACAAAAGGCTAAATGGACGAACTGGGAAAAACAATTGCCAAACAATATTGCTGTACCTCGTTCAATCCCCACCTTCCAAGAAGAGATCGACTCAATATCGCTGCATGCGTTTGGAGACGCGAGCGGGAAAGGAGTGGCAGCAGTTGTTTATGCTGTTGTCAAGCAATCCTCTGGTTCAACACAAGGCATCATAACAGCAAAGGCCAGATTAGCCAAACAAGGAATAACAATCCCCAGGTTGGAGTTGGTCTCAGCGCACATGGCTTGTAACATTGTGGACAATGTGCGGAAGGTCCTAAGTGAATTCCCAGTGGAAGGAACGTATGCCTGGCTCGACAGTACTGTGGCACTGCACTGGATCAAAGGAGGAGGAGAATATAAACAGTTATTGGCCAACAGAGTCCAAAAGATCCAGTCCAAACAGGGTATCGAATGGCGATATGTACCAACCGATCGAAATCCTGCTGATGTGGGAAGTCGAGGTGGCTCTGTGAAAGAAAACAAGTTGTGGCTGAATGGACCACATTGGCTCCAAAACATCAATGAGTGGCCACAAGACATTGTAACTCAATCGACCAAAGAGAGTGAGAAGGAAGCAAAGGTCATAAAAACAGCACTGGGCGTACAAATGGACAACTCAGATTGTTTTGATTACATCCTCGAGAAGTTTTCGTCTTTAAGGAAAGTTATGAGAGTGTGTGCTTGGATAAAAAGGTTTATCACAAATGCCAGACGTGTGAACAGCCGAGTAGTTGGACCATTAACGACTGATGAGATTGAACGACAGTATAAATTCTGGGAGAAAAGAGTGCAGCAAAGTTGTGATTGTTTAGACGACAAAGGTCGACTTAATCTTCAAGAGAATCACGATGGTATCATGGAATGCAGAGGGCGCATTCATGGGCATTATCCTGTATACCTATCAGACAAACACCTATTTACAACCAAGCTTGTGGAAGACGCCCATCTTCAAACTCTCCACGGGGGAGTTGGGATGACCATGGCTCGAGTTTGGGAGCGGTATTGGGTACCTCGACTAAGGCAATTAACACGTAGAATAATCAAAGCGTGCTATGGCTGTCGTCGTTTCCAAGCGAAAGCAGTGCAGCAACCACCGCCTGGATTGTTACCCCAAGATCGAACTGAAGGAAGTCGCCCGTTCGAAGCTGTTGGTGTTGATTTCGCCGGACCACTTAAATACAAAAGGAAGAAAAAGGAGCAGGGAAAAGCTTATGTCTTACTTTATGCCTGCAGCCTAACGCGAGCTGTATATCTCGAGTTGATGCCGAGTTTGGATACCCAACGCTTTATGGAAAGTTTCAAACAGTTCATAGCTAGGAAGGGAAGACCGAGCAAGGTATACTCTGATAATGCGAAGACTTTTGTTGCAGCAGCAAAGTGGTTACGGGAGGCTCAGAGGGATGAACGGTTTAACGAGTTTCTCAGCAAGAATCAGGTGAAATGGCAATTCAATCTAAGTCGTGCCCCGTGGTGGGGCGGTCAATTCGAGCGCCTAATCGGATTGGTCAAACGGGCTCTTCATAAGACGATCGGAAATGGATTGCTGAATTGGGAAGAGTTAAAGGATGTTCTTTTGGATGTTGAAGTGGCTTTGAACGATAGACCATTAAGTTACATGGAGGATGATATTCAACTTCCAACATTGACCCCTAACTCCATGCTCTTCGTTGGTTGTACATTCGCACCAGAGCTGGAAGCACATCACATAGAAGAAAGGGACCAAAGGAAACGGGCTAAGTATTTGTTAAAATGCAAGCAAGCTATCTGGCGGAGATGGTCTAATGAGTATCTAAGGGGATTGCGTGAACGTCACAACCAACAACACAAGCAAACAACATTTACTGTGAAAAAGGGCGACGTTGTTATCATACGATCAGACGAGAGAAGTCGTGGTAAATGGCCTCTTGGAATCGTGGAGGAGTTGTATAATGGGCGAGATGGTGTTGTTCGTGCCGTAAAACTTCGTGCAGGGAAAACTTATTTGGAGAGAGCAGTAAACCATCTTTACCCACTAGAGCTATCATGCGACCGTGTTGAACCGAACCCCGTGCCATTGGATCCCAGAGCACCAGCGTTTAAACCTAAACGAGACGCTGCAGTAGCAGCAGAACAACATATCAAGGAAGTGACGGATTTAGAAGTTTGAAAGAGATTGGAAGAAGGACAGAAACTTTTGGCGATAAACAAACACTTTATTGAACTTTATAAATTTTTTGTTTTGTTTACAGAAGGCAGTCTCTTGAAGGTTACATATACCTTATAAATCAAGGTATATGGGGGGAGAGTGTCAGAGACTCGCCTCCTTTTAGATGAGTAGTTATGACAAACACTTACGCGCACCAATAGGAAGCAAGGGAAATGGGGTGATATGCAAATTGCGATAGAAAGGAGAACACGTGTTGTTATTATGATCTTGTTTTTTGGGACTGTGAAATAAAAACATCTTCGTCAAACCTGTTGTTAAAAATTGTGAAGTGTTGGGAGAAACTTGGGAGGCAATCCCCAACATATGGAATATTATTTACTTGAAAGAGCAATTGCTAAATATTAGCGCTGTCACAAATGTCTCTATTTTCTGGTAATGAATTATGTTGTAAGAGCCAACTAAAATAAAAAATTTAAAATGCTGGAAAGTTGAATTATTCTACACAAAACCATTAAAATGGCTGGCGTAAGTATATTTTCTTTAGAGAACGAGTTTACAGTTCACCATTAGCAAGATGTTTATGGGTGAAAATATGAATATTGCTAAAAGTAGGTACCTTATTGTAGCTGTGTGTGTGGAGTTTTGTAAACAGTAATATCTGACAGAATTGTAAATACAAGTCAGGGGATATTAAAAACATTCCGGCTGAAATGTACGCACCCTGAAGATCAAATTCAACAGAAGTGAGCAATTTTTTCATGCTTCTTGTGAGTTTTCAATTTTGACAGTCTTTGAAAAACTCACTCGTGCATGTTTTTCCCAAATTGCACTCGAAACCATGCTATTACCTGGCAATTATTTAAACGCGCTACTAGTTTAGCGCATACAGTTTCAAAGTTCTAAAAGTACACTTGTAAATTAAAAGCCTTTTTTGCATGAAAATGATTTTCTGTCTGTCTGCAAATAAATTTTGTAACAAGCCCATGTGGTTTGTGAAAAAATATCATTCCTTTCTCTTTCATTACACTAAATTGACAAACACTCTTCAATACTTTCAACCCTCTTGTTTGCATTGATGTATTTCCTTATGTCATGTTTAAAGAAGTTTCGTTATTATGCCTTTTTATTGTCATAAAGTTTCTTTTTAGTCTAATGTTAAGTTCATTAAATGTGTTATGGAAACTCAAAAATTTATTTTCGTAAGTTTGCTAAAGGAAATCGCACAAAATGACCTAAGTGCTGATAAACTTTGTATTATTGTCAAACATGGACGTGGCAGTCAAAAGCGTCTTTTAAGCTCATTTCATACGTTCGAGTTTACATGACATAACCACAGTTCCGTAGACTTTTGTTGGCAACATTTTTTAATAATTTAGCATGTTTTTTCTGGTAATAATAAACACGAAGATTTACTAAACACGAGGATTTAATAAACACGAGGATTTAATAAACACGAAGAAGATTTACTCTAAACATGCATAGTCAACAACCAGCTACTTTTGAAAGCGTCAACCAGCGAAAGATAAGGCTGTATCAACAGCTGTATCAACATACAGCTGTAAAATATATTTGTTTGGAAAACCAAAGTGAATTTTAAGCCCCATCATTCTCTTACTTAACTATTTTTATTGCACTTAGGCCTTCAAGGTTAATAACGCTTGTTTTTTAATTCTTGAATTTCTTTTCGTGATTATTGAGACTTTTAGCTTGTAAACCTAATTAATGGCTTTGAAATTCTTTTTACAATTTTCGACTTGCACAATTAGTGTGACTAAGCTTCCAGAATTGAATTAATAATATATATATCAGACGCTATAGAGAGTATACATGCAGTATAAAATTTTAAAGGAGATTTTTAGCAGGGGCGGATCTAGGGTATGTCAAAAGAGTAATGCGAGTCACGTATATTTTTCTAAAAAAATGATTATTCTATTTTGAGTATTAAAGTCACTAAAATGATGACTAACTACGTAATTTCTTTTTTACAAAGTCTGAAGTTATTTTTTGAAACGTATTTTTGTTCACGGAGGCAGCGGTCAAGCGCACAAATCTCGCTCCATCTGGTGACTATATCCATTTATATGACTGGCCAAAGCGTATTTTAATTATTCTTCACTTCTCTTGAGACTCATTTGCTGTAAATTACTGGGGGGCTGCGGACTACTTCGGCACTATATTTTTTATTATTCAATGATGCCTTGACTCAATTGCACTGTTCATGAGCAGGGGATCGTCAATTTGAAAGTCAAGCGTATTGTATTCTATTAGAAAATTTTGTTTTGGATTTAGTGGGCTATAATTTTGTGGAATATTCGGACTATTCTACAAATTACTATCACTATAGTAATTAATGATATGATGGAAAGCATTAAATGTGGAATTTTGAATAAAGCAGAGTTTTTCTGTGCAAATTAAAATCGTCTTTGCGTGAAAGGAATGTTAAGTGAGTCGTGCGTCAAGTTAGTAAAACGCTCAAATTGCCGATTTGTTATTTAGCAAGAAGATACTAAGTAGTGATTTTTATGATGAGGTTTATATATATGCCTTTAAAAAATTGAGGTTGTAAACCAAGCGTTTCCAGAGCTATAAGGTATTTAGGTTTCAGTCGTCATTCAATTTGAAATGAGTATGTTTGAGTTTGAATATAAATCATTGCTTTATTGTACTTGTTCATCAGATCTTTTTGAAAATTTCCTTTATAGCTCTATGTCACTAATTTTCTTAATTGATGAAAATCTGGTAAATTTATTAAGGCTACTGACCTTTATATAACTCTTTGAAAATGCCAAAATTTACTACAATTACACTCTATTCTCAACTATTGATAAAAATAATGCTGAATAGTTCAATCACAATGTTAAAAATCTTTGCTTCAATCTTTATCACAAGAGTGCTTGGATTCTGCCAAAGTGGCAAAAATTTTGTTAAAAAAAAGAATCATTCCTGAACTGCCATGGCAAGTAGAATGCATCATTTTTTGCGTTTAAGGCTTGTCTTCTGTCATTGAAAGATCAATTCACTCACATCTTGTTTAGTTATGAAAGTACATCTAAGACTAGTGGAATATTGCATCCTAACCATTTTGCATTTTTATTTTTTTTATCTAATTAACTTATGAGAAAATGTTTAAATTGTTGCAATCCCACCTTATATATGTTAAGGCATTGCATGAAGATAATGCTCAATCCATTGCCACCTCCATTGGTTGTATTTTGCCAGAATATCTACCTGGCTCGGTGCATTTACTACAAAGCTCAAAACAACTTGATTGCAAACCAATGCATGCAACTACCATTCAATTTGATCAGCCCTTTATAGAGAAATGTTTTTATGGTATACTTACCTATAAGATTTTCAACGCTGTGATTTAGACATTGAGCATGATTTTTATCAATAGTAATCTGATTTTGAAAGGTTTTAGGTTTCAAAACAATCATGTTTTCTATTCCTGCAGTGATAGGAACTACAGAGCGTTTAGATATGTGTGATATAAAGATTTTCAATGGCTTTGTTTTTTCCCTCCACAGCATGGTTAATGTTGTTTATCTTGTTTAAATTTTTGGGAGCTTTGTCTTTTAAAATGCCTTAGAAATTCTAGATTATTAAGTATTCCTTGCAGTTGTTGATTGTGTGAGGCAGTTTATGTCAGAATCAGGCTGTCATATAACGACGATCAGATTTATAGGCAAGGGAATGAGTCTGATATAGGGTGAAACAGTCAAACAACTTAGTAACTATTTAAATGTTAGAAAATGTAGATTTTTACATACAAATGATAGTCATAAAATATTATTATTGTCCATTCTAAAATGCTGGAAATTGCATTTCCGAGACCCTAGAAATTAAAATTTTCCAGGTGATCATGCCCTTGGACCCCTAAGATAGTGCCTCCGGCGTGCGCTTCTTGACTCACGTTTGAAAAATCCTACATCAACACCTGCTTTTTAGCTATATAGGTTTTTTTGTAGATCTTTTTAATTTAAGTTTAATAGTACTGTTGAGATAACAGAAAACACTCCAACTTAATTTACAATTATCATCTATTAGCTTTTATAAATTTTCTTTAAAAATTATTACTTTTTGCACGAAAGAGAAATGATCCTTAGCAAGACACACGTAGATATTTCTTATATTATTTTGAGATCTATAGTCAGTGAAAATAAAAAACATCTAGGAATATCAAAGTCTGCATACGATAAGAAAATATAGTCTTTTAGCTTGCTGAACAAATTTTTGTGGATGAAACAAATTTAGCTACAACATTATTTTTGCTGACGATACCAGTCTTATTAAATGTAATCATTATTCATATGTTTCCTCTATTGAACGCCTATTACAAGAGGATGCAACTAATTTGAACTCGTGGGTAAATAAATATTTAATGGTGCTAGCTCTAAAAAATCAAAAACTATGCTTATCACTGGAAAATGAATTGCAAAGAAATTGGTAAATTCATCTACATTATTGTGTGTTCATATTAATGGGAATATGTTAGAGCAGGTTTCCCACCAGAAGCTTCTGGGAATCATTTTAGATGAAGACCTAAGTTTTTCAAATCATATTGATAAGCTATGTTCCAAATTAGCTAAACGAATTGGCCTTCTTAAAGAGTTAAGATCTTATCTACCATTGGATGAACGCGTTGCGTTTTATAATGCCACTATTAAATCTGCTATGATGTTTGGTAGATGTGTTTGGTCAAATGCAACAAAAAATAACTTGGATCAAATTACAAAACTGAAAAAGAGAGTAGCTCGCGTAATTCTAGATGCCTCAACACGCGATAGGAGTATTCCACTCTTTCCCATATTGGGCTGGATACCTTTTAGTAAGAAAGTGGAAATTAGAAAGGCCATGACTTGTCATAAACGTTTCTATGGTAACTTTCCATCTTATACTATTGATATTCAACCAACAAATGCCAGTAGCCACAATAGAAATACTCGTTATAAAGACTTAACTATTTGTTTACCCAAAATAAAGAGACAAAATGATGGTGGGAGATCTTTTGCTGCTACTGCAAGTCGATTTTGGAACAGTTTACCTCTTACTATGTGTAAACTTTCATCAGCTACACTTTTTAAAAAAAAACTTTATGATAAAGCTAATTCAGATATGCTCACAGAATAATTTATTATTTAGTTTTTTTAGTATTTTAGTCTTGTGCAAGTCAGGTTTTTAAATTGCAATTGATCTCGTAGTTTGTTAGTTTGAGGGCCACAAGTTTTTCACACTTGTTGTGTCACGTTTTACTCTCTTTTAATAAAGTTTTATCATCATCATCGTTATCATTGTTAAACCATTAAT